AGCATCTTCGTAACATTATTGAAAACTGAAAGAAATTTTCTTATTTTCTCATATTTAACCCATTCTGAATCAACAGGCAACCATTTGTAGTTACCATCTCGAATTGCGTAGTGATTAAAAACATTGCGATAAATAAATGCGGACTCCAACATATTGAAAGTTGAGTTCCATCTAGTGGAAACATCAATGGACAGTGACCTTGTAGTTGCAACTCCTAGTTGCTTTGCCACTTCCATAAATTTATGCAATATTGCAGGGGATTTTTTCAAATACTTAACAGAATCTCTGATATTGTGGATAATTTCATGAATCTCTTTTAGCCTATCTTGGACCATTATGTTGATGATATGTGCGCAACATCTAACATGAAAAAAAAATCCACGAAAGTTTAGTTTTCCACGTGATTGAAAATTTGCCTTTAAAGAACTAGCAGCCACATCATTATTACTCGCATTGTCTAGAGTAATTGTAGATATTTTATCCTGAAGATTCCACTCCAACAAGCATTCACAAATAGCATCACAAATGTAAGTGCCGGTATGTGGAGGCTCTAATTCAATAAAGTTAATAATAACCTTCCTTATCTTCCATGTTTCATCAATGTAATGGGCAGTCAAGCACATATATCCGATAGTCTGATTTGAAGTCCAACAATAAGCAGTTAATGAAACCCTGCGAACATCTTTAAGGCGAAATTTAAGCTTATCTTTCTCGCACTCGTAAACTTTCATGCAATCATTTTTTATTGTGTTTCTTGAAACACTTTGAAAGTTAGGATTCAACATTTTTAATAATATATTGAACCAAGTATGTTCAACCATCATGAATGGGTACTCATGTACAATTATCATTTTCGCAATCATTTCTCTTATAAGTTGTTGATCGTAATTTTTAGGATCATAGAAAATAGGAATCTTTAATTCTCCCTGAACTTCAGGAGGCAAAAAGTTAAGTAACTTTTGCCTCTTGTCTGATAAGTCAAGTTGTTGTTGACTCTTCGCTTTTATCTTAGCACATTCTTTAACATG